AGAACTTAGAATCCTCACCGCACTTATGTTGCCTGCTAAATCACCACGAATTGCATCTCGATCTATAAATTTTGATTCGCCCACCGTATCCGGCCCTTCGTCATTACTAGTAGATTTGGTGTGAGCGCTGTCGGTCAAGCTTGATAGTATGATCGCCTGATAGATAATAAAATGCTCATCATTTTAACAATAAAACAAATCAAGGCGTTAAAAAGACATAAAAGTCTGCAACGTTACCTGTCTACGTTAATGCTAATAAAAGGGCTAAATATACAAGTTAGAATATGCAGCACGATAAATTTTCCGATTTTTACAAATGGTCCCAAGATATGCATTATTCCATATTTTGGCATGCATGCAAAATCTATGAGAAACAAACCTGAAGGTTTCCGAGTTTTTTCTTCAAAGTTTGAAGTTCGACATTCATAAGGTGTCTAGGAGTAAAAAAACAAATTTCCGCATTTTGAGTAAGGAAACAAAGAAACCTAGGTAAAAAAGACTAGAATATCACGTTTGTGCAGAAATCTACAACAAGCCGGTCAAAAATATAAAGAGTCTGTAAAATTGCATAAACAAACCTGATTCTATCAAGGAAAAGCAATCGATCTTGGAAGCCATTTGCATCTCCTAAGATAGTAAACAACATGTCTTAAAAGCTGCGAAAAAAGCATTAAGTTTATTCCCTAAGTAGCCACAACACATAAAATATCACTTCGATGCACAAGAAGATGCAAATGTGTGTGTTTATTGGACATAAATAAGGATAGATTCACCTATTTGCCAAGATCCTGCAATGCATCGATTGCTCTGTATGGGGGAGTCCCTAAACATATGGCCTCATAAATAATCATTTACATTTTATCATATGACCGCTTCATCAGAAAGCAATCAACAAATTCATCGATTTCAGCACTCATTGAGCCAGTTGTTTCAGTAGAGCGCTTGGCTTTCTGAAGAGCCAAAGTTCTGCCATCAGAGGAAAGTAAAACCAATGTTGATAGTGATTCAATCTGCTCTGTCTACGAATCTATAGCACATTACTTCTGTTAGAATTTCCTCAGTCTGTTCAATGAGATCAAAACCAATGACTGATTTTATTTCATAATGCTCTTCGTTGGGAAATCGGCTTCGTAAATTATCCCAGATGGTCTCCATCTTGATTTTGGATTCAGTGTAATAAGACTTGTATTATTTCTTCTAACCGGCACTTTTTGCTACGGTTACAGGTTGCTTGCTCACAAAGATAAACAATACCCAAGGCAAAATGAGCCTCTATCGCATATCATGGAAACGCTTAATGCTAAAAGATTTATCTTAGATTTACTCATCAAACCCGTAGCCAAGACAGAGATATAGCATAAATAGCCAATTAAAATTGCAGGTCTTGGCAGCTTATAATGTACTTTAAGGAATTAAATCGATAAATAATGGCTAATTTTTCTCATTCAATTTCATCTACGAAAGTAGGCTTTGTCTCTTAGATTGTAGATTTTTGTACAATATAATGATTATCCGTTCCACCATTCGCACTGTCAACCAATAATCCTCCAAAACTCTTGACAGTTTGTTATTTATCTGATTTCTCGGTGTCACTGAAGGCCCGTGAGGCATGCCAGTTACCAATACCTATCGTAGATATACGTCTGATGGGACATTTGGGATTATTGCAAATGATTCTGTTCCAATTAAGTATGTTAGAGACGTTAGTGGAAAGGCTGGGAAGCTTTGCATTACCGGGACCGGTTCTTCCGTTTCGTTATGGAACCTTCACACCTCCCTTCCTGTGAGTTAAGTGTGTTTTTTATGGTATAGTCTGGGTCACTTTGTAGAGATTTGGAGACTCGATCCGTGTCTGTACTGGCTGTTAATTATGAGTCCGGCCGTGCGGATACCCTTGTTGGGATTGGATATATGGATGGCTGGGTCGTAGTGTTTTCATTGCACTCAGGGAAGGAGGAGGCTTCATTTCGAGCTGGTTCTCACCGAGTCACTTCTCTCGACATATCGGGCTCATTCGTTGCTTGTGCCTCAGTAAGATGACGTAAACTTTAGGCTTTTGTAGGAATCTGAGTTGCATTTTCTAGATATTGTCTCGGGAGGCGGCTATCGCCTAAAGGGTCATCGTGGTGCCATCACAGCAGTTAAAGTTATGCCGCGTGCTGAAATTCTGATATCTGGGTGGGTTGTCGTTCGCTTTCCTCCACAAGTTCATTAATTGTTCTCAGGTTCTAATGTGCACTTTTTTCCTAACTGTTTAGCGGTCGTGACACTTTTATCAAGTTTTGGTGCCTAAAAACGCAGCACTGTTTCCTCACTCTTACTGGCCATCCTGGTCCTGTTTGGGACGTTGCCCTGTCCACCGACTGCAAAGTTCTAGTAACCGGGAGTTCTGACACCAACTTACGCCTTTGGAGGATAAAGTACAATGTAGGAATCGTTAATTTACTTTGTAATTGTACTGTTCGGTATCTGTTCACACTTTTTTTGTAGAATAGAACTAGTAACAAGGGTGAAAATGACTTTCTAAATACCTTAGACGAGCGAAGGTCAATTGAGGATAATCTTGCGCAATCAATTCCCCTCACAGATTACAGTTCTCTACTGGAAATTGAATTCTGTGGAACGATTCCGCGAAAGTCTGTCAAGCGGGTATTCTCACTGACCTTTGATCCCAGTGGTCGGTATTTGGCCTGTCAGGTTAGTAGGGAATTCGTTATGTTTTGCAATCACTTCATGCATTGAAGCATTACATTTTCAATTTTAGACTCTGGATAAGGTTTTAGAGATTTTCGTTTTGCTCAATGGGACTGAGATTCAGTCTCGTCTGCGAAAGAAACAGAAGAAGGCTAGAAAGTATGCTTCAATGGGCTTGTTAGTATCTGATTTGTGAGTAAACATGGGATACAGGACCATTTGTTTAACGGGTTGTTTTTACTCATCGTAGAACGGGAAAACTGGACCCATCGGTAATCAAATTGACGGCAGTAGATGAGCTCCGCTGCATTTTTCGAATTACTCTGCCTTCAAAGCTCTCTTCTTGCGACATCCGTGTGGTTCATTTCAATTCCGCCGTTAAGGAAGCTGAGGGTCGATCTCGTATTCCGATTTTATACGTAAGTAGGGTGGATCATCGTCTACAGCACTTGCTAGGATTTTGTATTGTTTGTCCTTCCCATCTCCAGATCCTCTGTGCCTATCGTAACAATCTGGTGGAGGAGTACAGTCTGAAGGTTCCTGTGACGTTGCCCACTCGCCCTGTTCTTCTCGCTGGTCCCGTTTCGCGACAACCACAGACCAACCAAAAAGCAGTGGGGATGGAGTCAGCAGGGTGTGAACTCCATCTTGTTGGCCGAATTTCAAATCTTGGCCATCGTGCCTTCCCTCTCAGCTGTCAAATTACCGAGGACGGCTCTGGCATTTTCACCCTGGCTCATGGGGAGGGTAAACTGTGGAATCGGTTAGCGAAATCACACCTTTTCACTAGTTGTCAAGATAAGGGATTTTTGTTAGGATGTTCTGGCATTGTTTTCTTATTTTATTCCACCTTAGTTTCATTTTCAAGTTAGTATTTTTTGTATTCGATGGTGAATTCATCGACTAAAGCTGGATGAACACTTAGTATTAGTCTGTTTTGAGTGCGTGGGGCACTCAAAGGTGGGTTTTACTGGGATACCATGAACGGCTGCACTTGTCTACGTTTTAAAGGCATCGAATTTTGAAATCGAACTGCAGCTTTCTTTTTCTGCGAATAGATCGAACCAGACCTGTCTTGCAACGATAGGTTGGAGCTCTATGGAGTTACAAAAGTCATCTCTCCGTGAGAACGTTTCCATCGTGAAATATGGAACGGGGGATGATGTGACAAAGACCAGGAATGTGTCTTTGAAATTTCAGAAGGCTACCGTTTTCGTACTTGCTCCCGGTAGTCGACATGTCACTATTGGCTTCGAGGTCTGTTGATATCAACTACTAGACAGTCATTTCCATTTCACTTTCGCTCACTTTTTATCAATCTCCATTTAGTCAGGCCTGATCTGCTTATTCGATTTGATCATGAAGAAGTGTACGCAGGTGCTAGAAGACGCTCATACCGGTGGGGTTCGAAGTCTCATTCTCACGGGTGATCGGGTGAGGCTGAATACCTTCGGTTGATTAATTTTCTTAGAAGGGCGTCATTTCGGGCGGTTCAGATTCTAAGGTGGGATTTTGGAGTTTTGAATTGGACGTGCATTTGAAAAGGTAAGCTATTACTTCTGGGAGAGTTGCCTACACTAGGAAGAGAATCATTCCTATCGTTGCTCTGATAATCTCAACGTTTTTATTTTGCTTTGACTTTTTCTCTACGGAATCACTCGTCTTACTTTTGGGAACTTCCGGAGCAATATTAAAAGCATAGGAAGTATAATAACAATGGCAGATTAATTTTGAGCTTTAACACACCTATCCAGGTGGATATCTAAGCGGTTGGACTAATAAATATCTTTTCTGGGGAAGCTTGGTCAATGGACATCGTTTTACAATTTAAGCATCATTTATATCATCGTCAAATACGCTCTTTTAGTGGTCCGAGCCTCTACTTGAAGTCTAATCGACCAGTCCAATCTGTTGATGATCAGGTAACTTCTTTAGCTACCACTCCAGACAATCGTCTCATCGCTGTGGCCATGGTTAATTTGCATGTGGACATCTACTTCGCGGACTCATTCAAGGTGAACTCTTCCAAAAATTTCTTTTGATTATTTTCATTACTTGTGATGTAGTTCGGATGAGTCACTATCCTCTTTTGATTCTAGCGAGTTCACAGCCTCTATGGCATTTCTTCTCCCGTGACTTGCATGGACGTGTCGGAGGACAGCCGTCTGCTCTTAACCGGCAGTGGAGACAAGACGGTTCGATTGTGGGAGCTTCAGTTCGGCAATTGTTTGCGGCGATTCATTCAGCATACTGACCCGTAAGTATTTAATTGGTTTTATAGTAGGTACTCAAAATTTCCCTACTATCCTCCCTACGTTTTTCGATGCGATGGTTGGGGCTGATGTGTTAATCGCCTATCGTTGGGTCGTGCAGAGAAACATTCTTTTGAATTTTTTTGGAACCATTCATGTGCTGGTTAAAGTGTAACTGAGCATTTCTTTCCGTGTTGAATTGATGCTAGGGTAGTTTAAGATTACATTAGTCTCAGAACTATTTTAGCACAAAAGGCGGATTGCGAAGCTTTTCAGAAAAAGTTTTGTGTCGTTTATTCATTGTGAATTGCAGAGTTACGGCTGTGCGGTTTATGCATGGCTCGACTCTGGCCTTCTCCGCCGATCTTGGTGGGACTATTCGTGAATGGGATGTCAAAAAGTTACAGGAGGTTTGTGTGCTAAAGGTAATTGTGACACAATTGTCAATTTGGCTACTTCACTTTATGGTTTTGAACAAGTGAATTGTTAACTCCCATTGGCTCAAAGCTAATAGAATTGCATTGTTAAGCACAACTCCAACTGATGGTAGGCATTTGAAATAATGTTTTCTTTCACGAAGGGCCATGAAGGTGGAGTCACCGGTATCGATACCCTAGCAACTCGCCCGGGTCTTGGTAAACTGATGCAGAACAATCGCTCTCGTGCGCCCCCCAAGCGGAG